TGACACGTTGATAAAGTAAAAAAAATTGGAAAACCGAAAAATCGAGTAGTTGAAAAATTAATAGTCGAGAAATTAGAAATCGAATATTCTAAACTGGAAAATCGAAAAATTAAAATTTGAGAAATTAAAAGTGGAAATATTATTTACTTGTAAAATCGAAAAATCGAAAAATTGAGAAAATACGAAATCAAGTATCTATTGAAAAATAGAAAATTTGGATAATTGCAAACTAATAATAATAATTATTTTATATTAATAATTAATTGCAAATAATTGAAACATCGAAAAATTTGAAAAAACCGAAAGTTGTAAAAACGTGTAATTGGAAATGAAAAAATTCAAAAAATTAAAAATTTGAAGTCTCGAAATCAAAAGAAGTCAAAAAATTGAAGAAACTAAAAATTGACAAATCGATAAATTAAAAAAACGAATATTCCAAAGTCGAAAAAAATAAGAAATTGAAAAATCAAAAATTGGGTAAACTGTGAAACTGAGAAGTCGAAAAAACCGTAAAATTAAGAAATTGAAATCAAATAAGGATGTATTGAAAAACTGAAAATTTGGGCAATTGAAAAATCAATAATTGACACATCGAAAACTTAGAAAATTAATATTGGGAAACTGAAAATTTTGAAAAAACGAATAGTTGTAAAATCGTAAAATTGGAAATAGAAAAATTGAAAAAATGAAAAATTAAATACTCTAAAACCGAAAATTTGAAAATCCGAACTGAAAAGTCTAATAATGGAAAAATCCAGAATTTGAATAAATCGATAAATTAAAAAATCGAAGAATTGAAAAATTGAATAGTTGAAAGATTAATAGTCGTGACATCAAAAAATCGAATATTCCAAAGTGGAAAATCGCAAAATTCATAAATCAAGTAATAGAAAAATCGTGAAATTGAAAAATCAAGTATTGGCAAACTGAAAATTTGGCTAAACTATAAAATTGAGAAATCCAAAAATCGAAAAATTAAACCTACACATGAGAAATCAAAAAAGTGAAAAATCGTAAAATCGGAAAATCGAGAAATTGCGAAATTGTATTGAAAAACTGAAAATTTGGGCAAGTAGAAAATCAATAATTGAAACATCGAAAATTATAAAATTAAAAGTTGCGGTAATTAAAATGGAAATATTGAGAAATTGAAAAAATTAAAAATCAAAGTTTTCTAAAACCGAAAACTTGAAAATCAAAACTGAAAAGGCTAAAAATTGAAGAATCGAAAAATTGAAAAATCGAAGAATCGAAAAATTAGTAGTCGAGAAATCAAAAATCGAAAAATCGAGAAATTGAAAAATCAAGTATTGGAAAACTGAAAATTTGGGTCAACTGTAAAATTGAGAAATCTAAAAATTGAAAAATTAATAATTGAGAAACCAAAAATAGAAATATTGAGAAATCAATGAATTGAAAAATCAGGTAAGTTATTGAGACATCGGAAAATTACAGACTTGTAAAATCGAAAAATTGGAAAATCGTGAAATTGCGAAACCAAGTATGAAAATTTGAAAATTTGGGCAATTGAAAATCATTAATTGAAACATCGAAAAATATTAAAAATGGGAATATTGAAAAATTTAAAAATCTGAAAAATGAAAAATTCTAAAACGGAAAACTTAGAAACCAAAACTGATAAGTTTAAAAATTGAAGAATCCAAAAATTGACAAAGGATAAATTAATAATAAAATAAATTTAGGAATAGATGAAACTTTAATGGTCGAGATATTAAAAAATCTAAAGTGAACAATCGAAAAATAAATTGAAGAAAAATTAAAAATTGACAAATCAAAATAGCAAAAAATTGAAATTTGAGAAATTAAAAATCGAAATATTGGGAAATCAAAAAAATGAAATCGTTAATTCGAAAAATCAACAAACTGAAAAATCGAAAGAACTACAGATTTTTAGAATCGCACTGGCCTGACCTGACCTAACTTTCTTATCAAAAATCTTTCGAAATTTGAAAAACTGAAAATTTGGGGAATTGAAAAATTAATAACTGAGACATCGAAACATTAAAAAATTAAAAATTGAGCCAATAAAAATGGGAATATTGAAAAATTAAAAAATTTGAAAAAACGAATAGTTGTTAAAAACTCTAGAACCGAAAACTTGAAAACCAAAACTGAAATGTCAAAAAAAAACAAAAATCGAAAAACCAAATAGTTGAAAAATTAATAGAATATTCCAAAGTGGAATGAAAAACTGAAAAATTGGGTAAACTGTAAAATTGAGAAATCGAAAAAATGGAAAATTGAGAAAAACAATCGAAAACATAAAAATTGAGAAACTAAGAATGAAATATTACGAAATTGAAAAGCCGTAAAATTGAAAAATCAAGAAACTCAAAAACCGAGAAATTCAAAAATCAAATAGGTTATTGAGAAATCGAAAAATTGACAAATCGAGAAATTGCCAAACCAAGTATGCACTGAAAAATTGAAAATTTGGGTAGTCGAAAAATCAATAGTCAAATTAAAAAAATTGAAAAACCGGATAGTTGTAAAGTAAAATTGTAAATGGAAAAATTAAAATGAAAAATCAAAACTTCTGAAACCGAAAACTTGAAAATCAAAACTGAAAAGTCTGAAAATCGAAGGATCCAGCAAATTGACAAAACGAAAAATTAAAAATTGACAAATCCAAAAATTGCAAATCAAAAAAGTAGATAATTGGGAAATCGAAAAATTACAGACTTGTAGTTTTTCAGGAATCGCGGTAACCTGCCCTGAGCTGACCTGACCTGACCCTACCTCACCTGACCGGACCTGATTTGATTTGATCTCCGTATTCAAGAAACCAAGATTGTTCTGGAATTTTCAATGATTGCCCTCAATTTTTGGATAAGGCAAAATTTTGAAATGACGTCATCAAGTTTTTGGGAGGGGATAAACGAATAAATTTTGCTTAACGATTTATCATGATTACGATAACCTTAAAATATTTACGAGATTTCGAAGCATTCGGTTTTGTAGTTTTATAGTTATATTGCAAAATATTTTATTCAGTTTTAAATTTTTTCCAAAAATTCTGTATGTCTAGGGTGAAAATTCGACACGGATTCACACATCACAAGTGCAGGAGTATCTAATTTTGTGAAATTTAAAAAACTTTTTATTATAAATTTTGGAGATGACGTCATCCCATTGGTGGTGTGGACGATTAACAAAATTTTAGTTACTATTTAACCATCTACATGATATTCCTAATATACGTACAAAATTTGACAACAATCGGTCCAATAGTTTCGGAGATTACTTAAATGGGTACAGACAGACAGACAGACAGACAGACAAACAGACGGACGGAAACACATTCTACTTGTGATTTATGAATCCGCGTTGATTTTTTCTGACTATTACTTCACAAAAACGTTTGTGCAATATTTGCCAAGTACTTTACGTAACCGACATCTCGAGTACGTAGTGAGTCGTCAACCAATTAATAAAAGCGTTGAAACTAAGCAACTTGAGCTCTAGGAGCGTGAGTTCCAATCCCATCCTCGTCGACTTTTTTTTAAGACATTGAGTTTGAATAAGTTTAGCTTGAGATGAGAGGGAAGTTCCGTCTAAATACGTTTAGACCAATTTTTTTATCTATAATTCGTTTCAATATCTTTTGTTTCCATTTTACTATTGTTGTTTAAGTTTCGTAGCTTCTATGGTAATGTTACAATAAAATCATTTTAATCTATATATTTAATATTTTTTCCATTACTTAGTTTGAGAACTTTCCAGTTCTATACAGCCACAAACCAGGACCTACGAACAAAAACGAAACCATCAAGGTAAACATAATCACAAAAGCTAAGACATTTTTTTCATTGCTTAAACAAAAAATTAATTTAGATGGGTTTATCTCTGAAAAGGCTAAACTAAGTTTTCATAAGGTCTATGAACAAATTGATACTATTATAGAATCATAATCTTGTTTATAAGCACCCATATGCGGGTATAAATTGGCCTTTATGGCACAGATCAATCAAAAATTGCGAAGCAACTATTAATTAATCATTTAAATTAAGGCAATTAATTATTTAAACAAGCTTGGATATTCAACATTTTTATTAGAGTTGAGGAAAATCATATTTCATCAAATCATTCCCGGAAATACTCAATATTTCTTTAAAAATATTTTAGAAACTATAATAGAATAAAACGTTATTTGTATCACGGACATAATTGTCGATTATGGCCCTTGGGAAATTAAAAGCCCGCCTTCGTCGGGCTTTAAACATTCCCTCGTGTTATAAGCTCCTAATTATGCCCCTAATTCATAAACGATTATTATGTTTCATGGATCAGAATTATACTCGTATCGCCGCTAAAAGAGTAATTTTTGGACTTTTGGTGTAATTTTAAACATCGTATTATTTTCTTTCTAAAATATGTGCATAAAACGTGTTACATATTCTGAAATTATTTTTGACAAAAAAGATATGTTTCTGATCATGATTTATCTCTGAGTTACACGATGTGGTACTTATAAGCTGCTTAATTTACAATCAGGGTTCAAAAATTTAGATTTCAGAGACAAAGATGGTTATAAATAATGTATTCCAAAAATCACAGAACACCCAAAAAAGATAAAAAAGCCGGTGATACGTAATTTATTATTTCTAAAACAAAATGTGAAATAAATCTGGAACAAATTTTGGAAAATTTACCGTTTACAATCAACTTGAAATCAACAAAAATACAATTTTAATACTAATAACGACTTCAGAAATGGCCTGCATATAGAATCCACTAATTATAGGCTTTATACAGTGATATGTAAACGTGAATCGGAGAACGGATTATTAAAATAATTAATTCTGAGCACAAAATGAATTTTCTTTGTAATCAAAATTTGAAAATAGTAGATCTAGTAAATACAATTAATCGTAGTCAAACCACCGTAGTTTCGGCGGCAAATTCAAATCCAAATTACTCTTCCAAGCACATCTCTATAATTACAATAAAGTCGCATTTTCGAGAATGTTACGACTCACCTTCCCACGAAATTTGCCGAAACTTGTCAAAAATCTCACAGTTCTCGTTGTCTCAGCACTCGTGTGAATGCACGCACTACCGTTGCGTGGTTCACGCAACCACACACTACTATTTGGTAATAATAAACGCCGGCATATCTTAAGTTCTGGATTACTTTCGCTGATCCCCTCCTTGTGCGGCCTCGGCGAGCCCCCAAATGCATGTCACACCCGCAGGACAATACTCTCTCTTCAGCAGGACGACCTTAACACCGGAGACCGGACGATATCCGCTTCGGTTCTTGCCAAATCGACATTGAAGCGTGCCGAACTTTTCCGGATTTTTCAAAAATTGCCGTCTGGTTCTTTGCACTCACGAGCTAGTCAGTGGGCAGCGGTTTTCGGAAAAAAGTTAAGTGTGTTGCCACACTCGTCCTTATGTAACAGGCAGAGTTAAATTATTCAGCGTATGTACGTTCTGAATGTTTATTGAGAGTGACTGTGGTCTTTTATGATGTGTTTTGTACTAACTTGAATGTGCGGTTTCTGTATTTACTAAAACTCAGGAGCGTCGGGAATTGGTATTCGTCGATTCTCACTCAGATCTCACAGATGATTATTGTAGGACCAATTAAATGGAATAAATGCACAAGTTGGTCCATTTATTGGTGCTAGATGCACATGAATCCCTCCACGAAGTCGCAATCGCACGACATCTCCGACTACACCTAGGTGTATCCAAGAAACCCGAGATGAAGCCCTTCGAGCAGCTCGCCTTTCTCAACACCTCCATCAACAGCATCGTGGACAAGTCCCTTTGACATTTCGATTTTTCATAGCTAATTTAAGAACACGATCGTCGAACTGACAAATCGGACCGTGTGTTAATTTCAAAATACGATTTTTAAACCCTTTTCACAGAAAATGATCGTGACTCAACGATTTGAAAAAAAAACTGGCCGATAGCTCCCGTTTTGCCTCCACAAATGCATCGCTTTAAAGTGATCTGGGGAGATATTAGAAAATAGAAACCAATTCTCCATGTTAAAAAAATTGGGGGACAGAACTTCTCTCGTTTCTGAAGTACAATATAAAAAAATCCAGTTTTTTCGAAAAATTATAAGATTTGATTTTACGAATTTTATGTTTATTTTTTTATAACCTTTATAAGAGTTATCAAAAAAAAATTGAGTAAATGCAGCGTAACACTAATAATAACAGTGCTGTATTCTCACTTTTTCGGCAAAATGGAATGAGTCGTTTTTTATTTAATTCGTAATTTTTTTTGAGTCACCTTATAAATAATTCGCATTTTTCATTTCTTGTTGTGAAAACATGACTGCACATATTATGGAAAAAAACGGCAAAATATAAGCCCCGCCCACCCATGATATAATAATTCTTTAGGTATGATACTCGTGCGGCTCAAAATTAAACCAGTTCGCGCAGTGACGTCACTCGGTGAGTAGAACTAGTGGAATTTCAGCATAAAAGCACGAAGAATCGCTAATATTTTTTAATTTTATTGTTATAATTCGTTATGTATTTAAAAAAATGTGTTGTACAACCTCTATATTATAATATAATAATTATAATGCTGCATTAAACAACCTGAAAACTAAATTTACGTCAATTACCTGAATTAAATTGTAAAAACGAATTTAACGGAGTTTGATACGTATTTCTATTGTGTGTAACAAATTAAAATTTCGCGTTTAATATTATTTTTCGTGTACTCAATAAAAAAGTGCGGCTTTAATTTGGAGATAATTATAAAAAAAGTGCTATTTTTCTGGTTAGTAGCGCACAGGTTATCTGCAAATGCCAAGATCTTCAGAATTATCCATTTTTTGATTTTTTAGGTTTTTATTATTGATTATCATGAACAGACTCGTTGTTATGGTAATTGTGCACATTTAACGTGAACATAATTATCTTAAACATAATTATCTTAAACAGAAATCTACTTTAGAAATTTTGTTCTAAACTTTCAAAAACTGAGTACAAGAAAAAGTAACCACTAAAAATAAATACATTGTACTATTGAACTGTAATCTACATGTTAATTAACAATTTTTCTTGGAGTGAAAATTGTTTTCATAGCTTGATTTTCGTCAAGCTATGAAAACAAGTTCGTCGTTTTGTTTTTAAAATAAGCAATTTTTGCTTCTAGATCTTCTCTCTGTATATCTTGATCTGTATTTGTACTATGTAAAAAAACATAATTAAATATTGGATATACTACGTCTTCAAATAATCGTTTCCCTTGAGAAAGAAATATGCATCATGCAAAAAAAAATCTGCAAACATAAAAGTTATTCTTCAAAAAAAAGCACTTTCCTTGAGTAAATACAATAAATAATGTTTAATATACCCAACAGATTTACTTGTAGATTCTGTTTTATCATCCAAAGCAGCACTTGCGTTATTGGTTTCAGTGCTATAAAATAAATGAAAATATTAAATATTTGCTAAGAAAGAGTCCTATAAGATGTTCTTTGAAAACATTTTTTGTAATTGAATTTGTTTGATTTATAGCAATATTCAAGTAAAATAACTTTCTTAATTTCTGTGATTTTATCCCTAGAACAAATTTCTTTAACTAACTTGGCTGATTTCCAGACTTTAGTTTTTTTTCCTTTTTTAGGAAGATAATTCAGAAGTTCGTGTTGCAAATTTCGTTCGAAATCGTCTTCACTAAAATGTTGTGAACACACTCTTGCATTTTTTACTATAAAAGAGTCCGACCGACAACAATAAATAACCCATACTTGTCCCTTGGAAATGAATAAAATTGTATGTCTTTTTGAAAATGTCTTGATAGTTTATCGCTATTACACCCAAAAACGCCACAACGCATCGTTGTGACTTTATAAAATTATTAAAACATAACGTATAGCCATTAAACCTTCTTAAAAAATACGTGGAATACAGAAAAAAGTCGCAGAATACACGCGAAATGCCTGTGTTTACTCACCGAGTGACGTCACTCCCCCACTCCGTACGTGCGCAATATCATACCTAGTATTTATTGTATCATGCCGCCCACCCACCCTATCTCAATTGTGAAATTTTTTTCTTATTCATCGTGAGCAGAGGGGGGCGGAGCTTATTTAAAAACATCCCCCTCTTTCTACAAGAAATTACTACGTGGCACATGTTTTTCAGCAATAGTCTTGTTCAAAGAAAACAATATGTATTACGTAAAAAATTGATCGACAGAACTTCTCTCGCTCCTGAAGTACAATACAAAAAAATCCAGTTTTTTCGAAAAATGATAAGATTTGATTTTACGAATTTTATGTTTATTTTTTTTATAACCTTTACAAGAGTTATCAAAAAAAATTGAATAAATGCAGCGTAACACTAAAAATAACAGTGCTGTATTCTCACTTTCTCGGCAAAATGGAATGAGTCGTTTTTTATTTAATTCGTAAATTTTTTTGAGTCACCTGTATAAATAATTCTCATTTTTCGTTTCTTGTTGTGAAAACATGACTACACATATTAAGGAAAAAAACGGCAAAATATAAGCCCCGCCCACCCACCCTATCTCAATGGTGAAATTTTTTTCTTATTCATCGTGAGCAGAGGGGGGGCGGAGCTTATTTAAAAACATCCCCCTCTTTCTACAAGAAATTACTACGTGGCACGTGTTCTTCAGCAATAGTCTTGTTCAAAGAAAACAATATGTATTACGTAAAAAATTGGTGGACAGAACTTCTCTCGTTTCTGAAGTACAATACAAAAAATCCAGTTTTTTCGAAAAATTATAAGATTTGATTTTGCGAATTTTATTTTTAATTTATTTTTTTTATAACCCTCATAAGGGCTATCAAAAAATTTGAATAAATGCAGCGTAATAATAATAATAACAGTGCTGTATTCTCATTTTTTTCGCAAAATGGAATGAGACGTTTTTGATTTAATTCGTTCATTTTTTGAGTCACCTGTATAAATAATTCTCATTTTAAGTTTCTTGTTCTGAAAAGATGACTGCACATATTAAGAAAACAAAACGGCAAAATATAAGCCCCGCCCACCCACCCTATCGCATTTGTGATTTTTTCGGAAAAATGAAGTAAGTCGTTCTTGCATTAATCAATAAAATAAATTGCCTCATTCATTAATTTTTTTTATTCACTCTGTACAAGAATTCTATTACTTGCTAAGATAAGACTTATTTTGGAAAATGACATAAACTCTGAGAAAATAGGGGGTGGGTTGGCGGGGCTAGCACTGGGTAATATAAGACTGATTTTGACCCTATTAAACTTGTAACAAAGATTTAGCAATTTAACCCGTTGCTATTGAAATTTGCAATTTAACACCTTTAAATTTCACAAGTTTTTAGATGATTAATAGAGGCAAAATCAGTTTTATCTTAACAATTACTAGGCCCGCCTACCCGCCCCCTATTTTCCCAGAGGATATGTATGTCATTTGTCAAAATCAGTTTAACTTACTAAGTACTAGCCCCGCCCACCCACCCCTATTTTTCCAGAGGATGCCATTTGCCAAAATCAGTCTTATCTTACCAAATACTAGCCCCGCCCACCCGCCCCCTATTTTTTCAGAGGATATGTCATTTGCCAAAATAAGACTTATGTTAGCAAGTACCACCCCTGCCACCCGCCCTTTATTTTCTCAGAAGGTAGTACTTACTAGTACTTGCTAAGATAAGTCTTATTTTGGCAAATGACATATCCTCAGAAAATAAGGGTGGGTGGGCGGGGCTAGAACTTACTTAGATAATACTGATTTTGACTCTATTAAACCTGTAAATAAGATTTAGCAATTTAACTCGTTACTATGAAAATTTGCTATTTAACACCTTTAAATTTCATAAGTTTTACAAGATTAATAGGGCCAAAATCAATTTTATCTTAACAAATACTAGGAACGCCCACCCGGCCCCTATTTTCCCAGAGGATATGTATGTCATTTGTCAAAATCAGTTTTATCTTAACAAGTACTAGCCCCGCCCAACCACCCCTATTTTTTCAAAGGATATGTCATTTGCCAAAATAAGACTTATGTTAGCAAGTACTACCCCTGCCATCCGCCCTTTATTTTCTCAGAAGGTAGTACTTACTAGTACTTGCT